ATTTTATTAGTTATATTGTCATTATTTTTCTCCAATATAAAAATTCTTTACATTCAAATTCATCAATTGTTACCAGGACTATGTGGTCTAATGGTACCCCGGTCGGACTTCCATTTGGAAGGTTGTAAGTTCGAGCCTCAGTGGAGGCGTTATTAGCTCTTTGTGTTTCAGTAGGTTGAGAAAGTATATGAACAGATACTACAATGTAATAGAGCTAGTAGCTTTCAAAAAAAAAATTCATCAATTGTTTATATTCGCTACAATGTCTTTAATCAAAAAATATTATTCATTATCAATAAATTAATTAAGAGAAATAATTTTATTAGTTATATTGTCTTTATTTTTCTCCAATATAAAAATTCTTTACATTCAAATTCATCAATGGATTATATTCACTATATTATCTATTATCTTATTTTGTACAATCTTTTTTAAATTAAATATCAAACCTATAATACAAAATAATGCTATATATTTATTTACCAAGTATTTTATTAATACCATGGAAAAACTAAAAAAAAATATAATTAAACCAATCATATTAACTACTTGGGGGATTTGTCGACAAAGAGAGTATTCAAATCACACAACAATTTGAAGTGGGAAACTACCTCGCAATGTCCTTGTTTGGCAATCAGTAGTTAGCGGTTAGTAATAATAATAAAACACACGGGGAGCCGAACGTTCGGCTCCCCTTAGTTTTGCCACTTTTCCCACATCAGTGGGAAAAGTGACATGGGAGCCTTGAGGTTCGTATAAAAGGAACCTCAAGGCTCCAATTTAAAGATTAAGCTTGCCAATCCGTTGATGGGTAAGCAGTGAGCTAGCTAAATTGGCTCTTGTTATTTTTCAAAACGTTAAGTGAAAATATTGTAAATGGCAGTTGTTGGTTTTACGGCTTTGGGTGCTGGTCGGCGGGCCAACACTACCGTAAAATACTATAAATGAGAGTTTATGATGGGTAAAGAATAAAATAGTGGAGAGAATAATGCGATATTATTTCTCTAGGGCTTCGGCCGCTTAAGTGCCAAGAGAAGCCAAAATAATCGATCCCCTTACACGGTGATCCCAAGGGGATATTTATACAAGAATACAAACCCGTACAAAGAAAGTAGGGTTGGCATAGAGCCAAAACCTACAAGGAAAGTAGGGTTAGCATAGAGCCAAAATCTACAAAGAAAGTAGGGCTGACGCGTAGGGCCAAATCAGCTACGGAAGCTGACCTTTATTGCGCCCTAGTTGCCTAAATTAATAAAGGAAGCTACTTGCATTAAACGAGGAAAGTAAATCTCCGCGGAACATATCTGTAACCGCCTCGGGGGAGTACTCGATCGCGGAGTATCCTTGTAACACCCTCGATTTTTACCATATTTTTAAAACTTAATTGCATAGGAAAACATCTAATCATCAAGACATAAAGCAAATGGAAGCTATATAAAATCGGGACAACGTTATGCCACACCTATCTCAGACATATGTGCACAGGCGGAAAAACAATCAAATCATCAAAACATAAAGTATCTAGGCACACAGGCCGCTATACTAGGCTCACAGGCCAACCAAAAGATAACGTCTACACAAGACAGCTAAACTATCTAGCGATCCACGTCTAGCGCTCTCAGACATCTACTCAAAACCTATAGAACAAGGGAACAAACATGGGGATAACACCCGGTCAACGAATATTGCTAGTAACCCATAATACGCGTTAAATAACATATATAGATAAGTATAATCAAAACCATTTTGGAACGGAATACAGTATATATCATTTCAAAACCAAGGAGAGAAGTCAACTTCAAAGACTCATCAAACACTCTCAAAAGAAATAGGAATCACCATCCTCACAATAACGACAAGACAACAAACATGAAAGACAATACAACTCAGGACGCATTCTACTGATCACAAAGTAGAATACATCAAGACATGCTCATAAGCAAGGAATTCACATTCACACAGTGGCAACTACATGCCACAGTGACAACTACATGTCACAAGTATCATAGTTCCAACCTTATGGCTACCCCCGGCCTTATTTCAGTTCCAACCATTACCTCCTATTGCCACCCTGTACTTATGAGTCCAACCTTTTGCCTCCGAGAACCGTCGTTCCCCCGCCTGCACCGCCTACTTATCCGCCGAACTCTCAGTACACAAGGGTACCATTAACTTCACAATCACAAAACCGCCAAACTCGTGAGCAACGCTCAAGTAACAAACCACCAATCTCAATCATAATCACACAAGGTCATCATCATTACCAAGAAGACTAAGACTCAACAATAGCCTCAATCAAGTATCAACAAAGGGTACAACGATTTACACACGACCATATCATAGGAAATCAATCAAGAGATCACAATAAAGACATGAGCCCATACTCAATCAACAAAGGATTCCAATCCAACACCAAATGATTGTCAACACAAATTGGCAATCTCAATATGAAGGAACAAACCACACATACTAGCATATCAACATCAACCTAGCATGCTTATCAAACGGGTAAACAAAACTAGTTCCAAAGAAGATTCAAGACTCCCATTAGCCTAACGAATCACAAAGTTGGACCTTTAGCACGATTCAAGACACCAAATCCTACATGGATTCCTAACATACCGTTCTAGATATACGAAACATCAAGAAGACTCACAAATAGCCCAATAAAACAACATTGGGAGGTCAAAACATCAATACCGAGGCAAAAGAATCACGGGGAACAAATCCCCGACAACAACCCACAATGTACCGTGGCCCCACCCGCGGTTCCGCCCGCGGGTGGGGTGGCGGGTAGGCCTCTGCCCGCCGTTCCGCCCGCGGGTACCACCTGTGCTCCAAAATTATCCCTTCGGGGATTTTCAACAAAAAGGCCAAGTTCAAGTCCAAAACACCCAAAATCTCACACACAACAATAATATGACTTGAGCCCAAGAAATAGCCAAGTAATGGCATTCAAGAACCCTAAGAACAAGCTCTAAACATGCATCACCACAAGACAATGCATCAACTCTCACAAATCAACACAAGAATCACAAGTAGAAGCCAAGAAATCATCATATAAGTAAGAAAATAGGTTTTGTAAAGCATGAGTTACCTTTGTAGCCTAATAACTTCATCTTTTCACCCTTAAAAAGCCTTTCCTAGAGCTCCTCTTCCACACCAACTGCATACACAAACCAAAACACAACAAAGATCCTATCTTTAGAAAAAGACACCTAAAAGAAGGTTAAAAACACCAAAAGACCAAGGATCTTACCCTCCCCTATGCTCAAGATGAAGAAAGTAGGAATCTTGGGAGACAATCTTGCAAGACTTGGAGGCTCAAATTCTAGCTTGGAGAAGAAGCTAAACATTTTAGAGAGAGGCTAGAGGTTTTTGTGTTTAGATTGAAGGGTGAATAAAATGAAAGAATATTGCTAGGTTAGCTTGAATCACCAACCTTAGGTAGAAAGACATTCCTACCCTTACTAATGTTGGAAAGACAAGGGAACAAGGGCACAATTCAAGGAGCACAAGGTACAACCCTTTGACTTAAGTGATTAGTCAAAATCTAGTCCTTCGACTATTAAATTTCAGGATTTTTAGGAATAGATTAGCAAGGAAACTTGGATTAATTCTTTAATTAATCCTTGATTAGTGTCTGGATTTACGGGGTGTCACAATCCTAGTTGCTGAAGAGACCCCGGGGGGCTGCGGTGCTCGGGCGAAGACGTCCCGACCGTGTAACCTGGTCGCCTGACTGATCTCCTGGATGGTTCCCAGCCTAGGACACGCTGCCTACGGAGCCTGGTCGCTCGCCCGAATTCTGTAAGGCGTTCGGTTGGGGACACACCGGCTGTCGCATCTGCCCACTTTGCTAGAGCCGACTGACCTTCACATGGGTTGGCAGCCGTCCTCCCTGGTGGTCGGTCGTTGCGAGCCGGCTGGCTATGGTCTCCAAGTACTCTTCCTAGAATTTCGGGTGTTGCCCATTTGCTACGTGTCGTATCGCGTTCACATCTAACCGCCTGGCCTCACATTCCTGGTCGGGTGTCCGTTTTGGGGGTATCTATCAGCAGTGTTTATATTTTCAGTAGTTTGGAACAAATTGTTGTTTCAAACTATTGAATAACCAAACATTTTCTTTTGTATGTGCATTCATTAAATATATTAGAACCCTTTGCAACAAAAATACTTTGTTACTATTTTAAAAAAGTCTAGTAAACAATTATAATGAATCTCCTATATTATATTGTATTCATATACTATGAGTTACATATTTAAATAAACAAATTCGTTATTAAATTACTTATGTATGAACTTCTCATATATAAGCATTAATATGATATACTTTCAAATATTTATTTAATTATAAACATTGAGCATTAACTCAATCGCCGCGTGTCAAACTAGTAGGTATATATATATATATATATATATATATATATATATATATATATATATATATATATATATATATATATATATATATATATATATATATATATATATATATATATATAGAATAATGTTCATATGTGGTTATGTTGTTAGGTGTGGTCGTGTGACGGAATTTCAGAATACACCAACAGTGTTAACAACATGCACCAACGGTGTAACGAAAACACACCACAATGAAATGCAAAAAAACACCAAAAAATACACCATATAACTCACCAACCCCAATGATGTATTTTCAAACACTGTATAGTGTTTTTACTCACACCTAATTGTGTGGTGTTGGTGATACATACCTAATTTGTGTGCGTTTTTTGTGGTGCATTTCCTGAGGTTGATGGTGTATATCTTACTTAACTATTGGTGTATTCTGAAAATCGCCACATGACCACACGGGAAGGGGTCTCCACACGTGAGTGCGACCCTATATATATATATATATATATATATATATATATATATATATATATATATATATATATATATATATATATATATATATATATATATATATATATATATATAGTAATCTTAGTCATATTCATTCTACGTCCAGAAACACACAACAATCCATAATGGAATACATTAATTTCTTCCTTTAAAATACCATTGCAGTCTGCACGCACAATTAACCAAAACATACATCAATTTCATAATTAGGAATCCTAAACGGAAGTTCATCATCGATCAGGAAGAGAAATTCTGCAAGAAGTCGTAGATATAAGTGTTGATTTCATGAGGCTTTTCTTCATGGACAAAATGGCCTACCCCTTCTAACACCACCACTTCCTCTAGTAAGGGCACATCTTTCTTTAGGCCACCCTTGTGTATATACTCCTTGGTGCCAGGAGAATTGTAAGTAATGTCCAAATCACCCACAATGAACTTCACCGGTACCATCACCTTTGCTCCAGTCCAGGCTGCAGTCAACTCCCAGTTAAGATCTAATGCTCTGTAATAATTCATTCCACCGGTGAAGCCTGCCTTCTCAAACATGGAGACATAGTAATCAACATCATGTTGGGAAAACCATGAGGGCAAACTCCGGGTTGGGGCTTCAATTGGTTTTCCCTTTGGTAATTTAGGAGGAGTTGGGCTGTGGTATGATAAGAAACGTTCAACAACTTTCCTGGTGCCAGCTACAGCAAATTCACCCTCTATTTCTCCACTCTCCTGTAATAACATTAGTGCATTAAATACAACAAGTATTAAAGAGTTATTTTCATTTTTTCCCCAATTCTGCATAGTGAATCAATGAATTCTATTTTTGTTCCTACAACTATTAAGTTATTTCAACATTTCGTCCTCAAGTATTATTTTTGCCATATTTGGTACATGATTTTTTTTTTTTTTTGTCAAGTATAGTCATTATGACCAAATTTTTGATAGAAAATGGCTTTTATTCATCACATTTCCAAGCTCAATATCATACAAACTTTAATATCTTGACCCTTTTGTATATAAATGTATGGTTTTGAATTAGAAATGTGATGATTTTTATTTTTTCTTCTAAAAATTTACATAGGACCAATCGTTGAAGATGGCGACCAGTTTGGTTGCCTTTTCTGTCGACGGAGATGACGACCAGTTTGGTTGCCTTTTCAGTCGATGGAGATAGTGACCAGTTTGGTCACCTTCTCTGTCGACGAAGAGGGCGACCAGTTTGGTCGCCTTGTCCAGTCAACGGAGAAGGCGACCAGTTTGATTGCTGTCTTCAATCACTAGAGAAGGCAACCAATATGATGCCTTCTCTAGCGACCTGTTGGTCGCCTGTCGCCAATTACCATAAGACTCTATTATGTATATATTGTATTTCTTCTACTATAAAAGGTCATAGTCAACGACAAAGAAAGGGATAAGAGAGCATAATTGTACATGTATAAAATTACTTACAAAGGTCTTGGATTTTAGCTTGATACGGCCAAAAAACTCTAATATTTTTACCAATTGGTATCTATTTAATTTTCTCTATCAATTAGGTTATGTTAACTTGATGATTGACTACCTCATATCTATATAAAAAAAAAAAAAAAACATAATATAATTAGATCTGAAGAATTTTAAATTTGAAAATCAAATGTACGAAAATATAATAAAATTAGAACATCCATACTAGTTGAGATTTTTTTTTTCTATTTTTTTGTGGGCCTAATATCCATCTCATCATCAACTATCTCACTCAATCACAAAATTTTTACACATTAGTTTTAGATTTTTTCTCAGTTTTTTGTGGACTCACCATTTTACTCCATTATATTTTAATTATTTCTTTATCTATTATCATTCTAAAAATTATAATTGTAATTATAATTATAAATTTGATAACAATATCATTGATAATTATAAATTTAATAATAATATTATTGATAATTAAGAAATTTTAATTTAATTAATAATTATAAATATAATAACAATAATAAATTAAAAAATTGAATAAAATTAAATTAAAAATTAAAAAAATAAGTGTTAATAAAACTAAATTAATTATTATTTTTTTTAAAGAAAACAAGAAGCTGGGATGGCTATTATTTTTTTTGAAATAAAATTTACTAGCTCTATTACATTGTAGTATCTGTTCATATACTTTTTCAACTTACTGAAACACAAAGAACTCATAATCTTTCAAATGGAAATCCAATCCAGGTACCATTAAACTACATAGTCCTGGTTTGGGATGGCTATTATGTTTTAAATAAAATCATTAAAAATAAGAACATAAAAAGTTTTCAATTGAGAGTGGCAGCCGGCTGATGGCCACTCTGGTCTCAATCATTAGGGGTGTTAGCGAACAGAGCTTTCGGCAAACTACTCGTGTTCGTGTTCGGTAAGCGTTCGTTTATGTTCGTTTGTTAAGGTAAACGAACATTAACAAACAAAAATTAGAGCTCGGTTAATAAACGAACAGAGCTTGAACCGTTGTAAGCTCGTTTGCTAAGAGATCGTGAACAAGTTCGTTTGTGTTCGTTTACTAATGTTCGTGAACAAGCTCGTTTATGTTCGTTTAATAATGTTCGTGAACAAACTCGTTTGCGTTCGTTTAATAATGTTCGTGAACATGTTCACAAAAATATATTATATTATATTAGTTTTGTAGTTGTGTTGTTTGTTTGATTATTGTTCGTGAACATATATTATTTATTGTTCGCGAACGAATTGTAATCATGAACATGTGCAGGTGTTTGTTTATTAAGTATTCATGAACGTAAATGAATATGTTCGTGAACGTGCTGTTTAATGAACATGTTTGTGAACGTGTTTGTTAACGTTAACGAACACGTTTGCGAACGTGTTCACGAACGTAAACAAACACGTTCGCGAACATGTTCGTTAACGTTAACGAACACATTCGTGAACATGTTCGCGAACGTTAACAAACACTAACGAACTCTTAACAAACGAACACGAACATGATTTTCAAAAACCTTAACAAACGAACACGAACACGAACACTCCAAATTCCTTAACAAACGAACACGAACAACCTCCGTTCGTTTATGTTCGATTCGTTAACAGCCCTATCAATCATATCACCTCAGCGGACGTGTTTACCACACGCGCCAGCCGAGTTAACTTGCGTCTCACTGTCTTTCTTTTCTGTCTTTTTTTTTTTGTTTTTTTTTTTTGAATTTCTGACAAAGTTTAAGATTTTGCAGGAGAATAATGCACAAAAAAACCTCATCTCACATTAATAAAAAACTAATCCATTTTATTTGTACTGTTCCAAAAATCAAGTAAAAGTTATTTGTGTGGTTGCTCTTAGTCGTCGAATACCGTAGGCCATAGGCCATAGTACCCTGCACTGGTTAGTTTGGAATTAATTTGTGTATTGTCTTAAAAAGTTAAAATGAATTAAGGAGAACCTGGAATCGGCAGATATAATAGTCATCTCCATAAACGGCACGCAACGTTTCAAGTGGCTTGCTCTTTGGATTTCTTGGAGTGAAACAAACGCTCATGTTCACCAAAGCTTTCACTTTGTCAGGCCTATACAAACACAGAGCCCAAGCCATCATAGCTCCCCAGTCATGTCCCACTACGAACACCTTCTCTTCATCTGCCGCCACGACGCTTAAGAGCGCCACCAGGTCGCCCACCACGTGGAGACTCGTGAACTTGGAAGGGTCGTCGGTGGGAGCTCCGGTGGTGTCGCCGTACCCGCGGAGGTCCGGAGCCACGGCTCGGTATCCCTGCGACGCTAGGAAACACATTTGGTGGCGCCACGTGTACCAGCACTCCGGGAAACCGTGGAGGAAAAGAACCACCGGACCTTGGCCGGTTTGGGCGACGTGCATGCTTATTCCGTTCACACTTACGGAAATGTGTTCTATTCCTTCCATCTCTCTCTCTCTCTCTGCGTATTCTTTCTTATGATATGGGAGATTAGATGTAATTAAGCACTTAGCTTTATAGTACCGATCAGAGCATCATTGTTCTGTAGTGAAACGAAAGGAGTAGTCCCGTCAGAATGATGGATATGGTTGAATTGGCGAATAACAATTCTCAAAAAGTAAAATATGAAAAGCAAAACCAAACAAAAGCAGTGATTTCCTTTTGATCAAGCTGGCAATGTGAACGAGCTGAGTCTCAATCCACATATATCAGGCTAGACATGAGTCATGACCCCACATTAAAATGTGGTTCTAATGTGAGCTAAATATGCATAGCCCACCTGACATTATTTTTATTTTTAGTCCTGCATAAAACTAAAGATATTGTTTAGCAAGTGAATAGTTTTTCACCGGCATTAGGTGGATAAGATAATGTCCAATATTTGTTTTTGAATAAGTGTTTCAAAATATATATATCAATACAAGATTATACATGAGATGTTCATGCATATGTAATTGAATGTTAAATTTATTTATTTAAATGAATAATTCTATGTTAGATAATATATTTGAGATTGATTATAATTGTCACTAAATTAATTGTTTGCAACTTTGTAAAAACGCTAGTCTAAAAAAATATTCTAAATAAATACGGAGTATTATTTTTATTGAAATTTCTCTTAATCTTCTCAATTCTCTTTTGGGTAGCATTGTCATTGCCTTCATCCGTACATATCCTCTTCTTTTGTATTGTTAGTATGTCATGTCCAATTGGGTTACTGGTGGTAGTATAAAGGCATCGTCTTCTTTTGTATTGATAGTGTGTCATGTCCAATTGGATTACTGGTGGTAGTATAGAGGGCAACATTATGTAATGAAATTATATAGCGTAAGAAACTATTAATTTACATTGTTGTATATATGACTGGGATCTTAGTTCTATAACGAACTCTTATCTTGTAAGCACTTGTCGATATTTGGCAATAATAATTTTTTCCCCTACATATTTCATTTGTTGTGAAATGCATATCGTAAATTCTCAGATAACAATATTAAACAAAATATTAATATTTATTATATTTATAGATAGTTTATAAATAGTACCTCTTGTTCTAGTTCCTAATACTAATAACAGTCGTAATACTAGTAATGTGAATGAGTCTCAATCCACATATATCAGGCTAGACATGCCCCACATTAAAATGTGGTTCTAATGTGAGCTAAATACGCATATCCCACCTGACATTATTATTATTTTTAGTCATAAAATAAAATTAAAGATATTGTTTAGCATGTGAAATTGTAATTTAGTAAATATTAAATTTTGCGTCACTAAAAAATAGAAACATTTCTTTGGGCCAAAAAATATTTTCTCTAAAGAGTAATACTACTCAATTGCATTATTTTTTATAATTTAATTAATAAGTTTATTTTATTAAATTTATTATTGAATTGGGTAATCATAAGCAGTAAATAAATATAAGTAATTTTATAATCACATAAGATATCAATATTGGTGTTGCTTTTATGACTTTTGAATAGTCAACGAATGACCAACATTATGGTCAAAACAACAAGTATATACGAAAGTTATAGTAAAAATATATGGAGAGATATAAGTATTTTGTATTGATTAATATTGCTTGTGAATAGTGTTTTCTCTTCTATGTATGGAGATCAGATTTATTTATACATATTTTGGACTTAAAACCTTAAAAACAATAAGAATCCTAGACTGCCTCATATTGAGAGTTAAATATTATCACATTGGGAATAATAAGCCCTAATCTTACTACAATAGGAATAATCAAGCCAAATCTTTATTACATTATGAATATTAAGTCCTATCCATATCAAACTCTTAAGTTGCTCCGTACTGTGTATCCTTCTTGGACTTTCTTGATCCAGTTACTTTCTTGGGTCGGTCCGTGTGACCTGACCCTTGTATGCCATCCATCAATAGTTATGTCATGGACCCGGGTCCACCCTGCAAGGTGGATCCCGGTCCAAAACGACGCAGTCAGTGCGTGTGAAAATAACGGTGCTGTTAGTACGTGGCACCGTTTCTGCAGCCAATGATTTAAAAAAAATAATTATTAAACAATTCAGCGAGTAAATATTCAGTTCTTTAATTGTGAATATAGAGTTATGAAATTGTGAATAAAGAGTTCTAATTGTGAATATAGAGTTCTATAATTGTGAATATAGAGTTCTATAATTGCAAATATAGAGTTCAAAAATTGTGAATATAGAGTTCTGCAATTTTATATATTGAGATCTAAAATTGTGAATATAGAGTTCTAAAATGAGTTAATTCCAGCTATGGTCCTCCGACTATTGCGATTTTCTAAAATTTGTCCTCGACTTTTAATTTAGACGAAAAGACACTCAACTTTCAGATTTGTTCCAGCATTAGTCCTTTCGTGAATTTACTATTAGTTTGACGTTAAAATCAGGGGTAAAAGTGTGCATTCATATGATGGGTCTCTTCTTCCCATTTGTTCCAATGGCCTGAACGGCGTTCAAAGCAAGCTCTAAGTATTTGAAGGCAGCACAATGCAAGAGCTCCATAAGGAGGTAGTTAATGTTTGTGAAGGAATAAAATCAGCACTAAATCAGCCAAATGTGCTAATTCTCAAGCCAAAGTATCGCTAGCGACTACTCCAATGTTGGAAACCGCCGGCGAGGGACAAACCAAAGTTGAGAGTAGCAACGGTAACCACATCACCGAGCTCACTACCGCAGAGAGGTAGGAAATTCAAATGAGGAATGCAAAGCTGGTAAACATGCTTGATGAGGTACAGACGATCTCAAAGCAATTCTGGTGCCTTAAAGTTTGGCTTCAATTTCGCAATTTGCCACGTTGTTGTGGACGACCAAAGCTGCATGCTTCTGCTTTATTAGCACATGGGCGAGCATTGCAGGAGGAAAAGAGCCCCCCGATGTATATCCATTTCTCAACCGAATGATCTTATAACTCCAGCCCTACCGCTATCGCACAAGCGGTGGATATCGGCTAGACCCAATTCATCCTGCCACCGCTAATCATCGGTAGGTCTAATCATGGAAGGCAATAATACTCTTCAACCCCTTAAACTTCACGCTTAATTGGATTGGACCGGACGTGTGTACTGCTCCCCTTTGCCCACGACATCTGTGAGAGTGGTGGCCGATATCGACCTCAACCATGCAGTCATTGCGGGGCATCTTGGCCTCCTCTCTGATCTCGCCCTCTTTCACCTCAACTCCAATCGCTTTTGCGGTATGGTCCCCAGAGCTTAAAAAATATGACTCTTCTTATGGAGGTGGATCTTAGTAACAACCGCTTTGCAGGCGAATTCCCTAAGGTCATGCTTTCAATGCCTTCTCTCAAGTTTTTAGACCTCCGTTTGAATGAGTTTGAGGGCCCTGTGCCTTCCAAGCTCTTCGACAATGACCTAGACGCTTTATTCCTCAAAGATAACCGATTCCGTTTCGACATCCCATCGAATCTCGGCAACTCACCGGTTTCCGTCTTGGTTTTTGCCAATAACGATCTCGGGGGGTGCATTCCATCCAGTATTGCCAAAATGGGGAACACATTGAACGAACTCATTCTCTTGAATGGCAATCTCACTGGATCTTGCCTCCTCAAATTGGAATGCTAAAGAAGTTGACGGTGTTTGATGTGGGGTTCAACGAAATTTAGGGGCCGCTACCGTCTTTCGTTGGGAGCATGAAGAGTTTCGAGCAACTGAATGTTGGCCACAACCGCCTCACCGGCGTCATTCCAACCAGCGTGTTGCCAACTTCCTTGCGTACAAAACTTCACCTATTCCTTCAACTACTTAACCGGAGAGGCTCCGGCATGTGTCGCCAACAGCTCCCAAACATAAGCTCATATAAATCCAACAAATGAATTGACATTTTTACCTCCACTCTTAACTTGTAATTAACGCTAGGTTCACGGAAAAATTAATGGTGGAACGATTTTGATAGTTAAGGATTTAATTCGTCCAAATTAAAAGGCGAGGACCAAATTTGAAAAATCACTATAGTCAAATGACCATTGCTGAAATTAACTCTTCTAAAATTGTAAATATAAAGTTCAAAAATTGTAAATATACAGTCTCTCTCTCTGAACTTTAATGCCAGTCTCCCCTCTCTCCACTCACTCGGGCGTTGACGGTGGCGTTGGAATAAAGCTTTCCCTTTTCTCCAAACAAATCAATAGAATTCACTATTCACAGTGTTTGTTGTCTGATTGATCTCACCTGAATCCTTATTCCTGCTATTGGGTCCTCAAAAATGTCTAACACGCGCCTCAAATCCCGCCATCAGCGCCGCTCCGAGCATCCCCCACCTCCGCCGCATCGCCGCCGTTCGTGGTGTTGCTCTTTTGCCACTTCATTTTGCTCTTTCTTTACTCTGCTTCTCAACTTTTTTCCTTCCGCGAAACACGACGACGACGATCCCCTCCCCCTTCAGGCAGTGAGATGAAACAAAAAAAATTTCCCGGTGAATCACTACTGCCTTGCTGAAAGTTGATTTTTCCTATTTTTTAAAAAAATATAAAATGAGTACTTTGCCACTTTGATTAAATAATTACAAATAGTTTACATTTTTTTTCGACAATATTTAGCCGGCAGGACCAAATGTGTTAAAATTGCATAGTTATGGGACTAAATTGTTAGTTTTTAATGTCAAATTGCATAGTTACGGGACTAAATTGTTAGGGGCCAAATGTGTTAAAATTACATAGTTACGGGACTAAATTGTTAGTTTTTAATGTCAAGTACTGAAATTAACACGCCCCCTCAATAAATCCAAGGATCCATGTTTAGCTTAATTACCATAAATAATTATTAGGTTTTTTTTTTGAATGCTACTAGCTCTATCCCGACCTACTGAAACACAAAGAGCCAATTTTTTTGAATGCTACTAGCTCTATCCCGACCTACTGAAACACAAAGAGCCAATAACGCCTCCACTGCGGCTTGAAAGTCCAACCCAGGTACCATTAGACCACATAGTCCTGGTACCATAATAATTATTAGTTAATTATACTAATATATGTGCAATTATACTTTTATACATTAAGTTTATTCCTTTCCACCATATCGTCTTTACTCTTTTTTTTTTTCCCTCATCCTTTCTATATGAATGAATTAACTGTAATTATTATACAAAAAAAAAATAAAAATTC